AGCCTTGCTGATCATTTGGTCGACGATGTACTCATCCGGCGCGGCCGTGAAGAAGATGTCACCATTCACGCTGCATTGTCGCTGAAAGACGTCGTGGAACTCCTTGTCACTGCCGAGGAAGAGGATGTCTCTGCGGATAAGGCAACCAAACTTACGCAATCTGGTCACCGGCCACCCCATGAGAGTCGGACTGGTGATGATTATAATCTGCATGTACTCGCTCTCCATCTCGTTCGCGATGACCTCCTCAGGGAAAAACGTAGAGCACTCCCAAAACACATAGTGTGGCCGAGAGAGCTGGATTTCCCTGAGCCATTTCCAAAAGGTTGGGGCCGTCTTTCCTGCAAAGCGGGGCAATGTCGTAGCACGTCGTTTGCTGAAGTCAGTGCAAGAAAATCCTGACACATTGATGCGGTACGGCTCGGGGTGGGGCTCGTCGACTTCAAAGTCCATCCTGTCGTCGTCGAACATGCCATCCCAGATAGGGCAGCACTTCTCGTGACGATAACACCAAGCTGTTTGGTCTGCACTGTGTGACGGGGGATGAGCCTCAAATAACAGCTGCTTGATGTCGTTGTGCTGCTGCTCCTTGTCTGCACAGCTCACTGTGTCAGCCGGTTCCATCATCCTCAGCTGTCGTTGCAGATCAGGTCTCATCCTGTCCTCGATCTTGCCAAAGACATGCTTGCAACCTGTCGCAAGCAACGCCTTGCGGGCTGCTTCTGAGCAATCAACTGAGAAAACATGCTGAAACTGCTGCTGCGGCAAAGACCTGAGGTCAAGAGCAATGGCAGAGCCCTGGGCCATCACATCATCCCTAATCGCACGTTCAATTTGACTCGCACAGCTCTCCCCTGTGCCCTTTCCCGAGTAATGCGAGGAGACTTTGATTCCCCGCCGGAGTTTCTGCTCCATGATGGCCTTGGCATCTGCAAACTGAGTTCTCAACCTTTCATAACCCTCGGCAGCCCAGGAAAACAAGCCGCGCAAGCTGTTGGGGCCATAGGGAACGTCAAGATTTGGCCCGCAATCTTGATCGGATATGTGCCGCTTCATCCTTCTGAGACCTGCCGGAGAGCCTGCAGTCATTGCAACAAACCCACCAAAGAGCTGCACCCGTTGCAGCCCTCCTGCGGCCCAGCTGCAAGCCACTTGAGCCAAGCCTATGATAATCGACAATGTCTCGACTCTCGAATCCTCGACACCGAAACGGGAGCTGAGAGCAAGCGAGCAGCATCACCAGGCGGCCCAACAAGGCACACCACACGATTTATTTTTTCTCCGTGAAAACGGAAACCCCAAGCCTCAAATCAGCAATGGCCAAAATTGCCCAAAAGCTTCTGCTGCCACAAATGGCAATGGCCTGCCCTGTCCTGCGATTGAAAGATGTCATATTGAATGACACATACATGGTCACACAACATGAATGAAGTCTGGCAGCAGAAGCGGGCAGCACTGAAGGACCAAGCGCTCGGCATATGATTGCAGCCGACACCTTGGCCCTCGCGGGAATGATCAATCTGCTGGGCGAGAAGTGACTCACGACATTGCGGCCCCTGCCGCAATACCTTAGCATCTCTGCTGGATCCTGAATGCAAAACAACAGACACCGTTTCCAATGCAGCAACGTGGCAGTGGCAGCACCGAAGACTCCACGATCTACGACTCCGGTTGTGGCCTGCTTCATGCCGCCTGATTGCCACTGGCACTGGCAGTGGCGGTTTTCCAAAGGTCTGTCAAGGCCGATTTAGGGGCATAGTGCTGGTGGATCTGCAGCAAACCTTTGAGGTTCTGCATGGCCATATCGCTATGGTCTTGCAACGACATTCTCATGCCTACATTGATGCCTCCATTCATGCATCGCTCAATGACTAACATTCCGGCCGGCACGAAAAGTAAGCACTTGGGCCCCACATGAACTTTATGAAGGAACTTCTTCTGGCCCCCGCCCTGCTCACTGGCCAGGCGAATGATCTCCTTCATGAAGAAGTCTTCACTGGAAGCATGTCGCAGCAAGTCTTGCACGTAGTGTGTCACATTGTACGCGCCGGTGAGCTCATGTTGCTGCTGTTCCGGGGTCAGCACGCTCCAAAACTCAGAGAAGTTCATCAAGATTACCTCTCGCTCACCTCGGTGAGTGTAGCGTAAGGTAGCGAGGCTGTTGTACTCGGCATAGACCATATTTCCGAGGAAGCCATAGAGGTGCACCATTCGCAAGTCAGAGGCTTCCTTGTGCTCGGACTCGGGCTCGGGCCACATGTTCACACCAGCTTTGCGAAGAAAGCTGCAAAACCCTTCCTGGATCTTTTGAAGTTGGCCACCCGTGACCTTCAAGGGGCTTTGCACTCGACCTTTTTCCCTAGCAGCTGGTGCCATGGGAAACTGTGCTGCAAAGACCGACAGGATATTCTGGGAGTTGCCTTCAATGATGGTTGCAAGGCTTGGAACTCGCACCATGTATGGACCCTCACCGGCTTTGCTGATTTCTGCAACGAAGTTGGACTCATCAATGATGGGGATGTCACTGAAGACGGGCAACGCCTGGAAAAAGATCAAGTTCTTCTCATCCTTTTGCACTTTCTTGAGGCTCTCTTCCAGCTGTTTTTTTGCCTGCTCCTTCTTTTTGGCTGCCTTCTTCGCTTCTGCGATCTGGTCAGTCTCTATCTTACGCTTCCGAGACTTCTCAGCTCTTGACAGGTCCCCACCGGCACGGCTCAAGCAACCAATAAGCTGCTTCATCACGTCGTTGGCATTCTTGGCTGCCTCTATCCATCGTTTGATGGCATCCTGTGACAGCACAAGATTGCCTTCTCAACAAAGTACTAATAGTCTGAGAGACAGCTAATGAAAAGAGCTGAGCTGTGGATGGCTTCTGATATGTACTCTCTGTCATACTCACCGAGCCCCTCTTTCGGGCTTCAGCCGGAGCCTCTTACGGGCTTGAGCCGGGGGGGCTGGGGGGGTTGCGGGGTCTCCTGGAACGGAGCTTGAGCCACAATTTTGAATGGGGGAATACAGCTGAATTTTGGAGTCGATGAATGGAGTCAAAACGAACTTTAAAAAATGAGAAAGGCATATTAAATATGTACGTCGGATACATATGTATATATATATATATATCATACATTATATATATATATATAATATATA